GCATGTGCCTGCATTTTCTCAGTCCAGAGGAGATATTAGTGTGGTTACAAACCAATTCAGCCTAGCCAGGTTAGACTAACCTGCAAAGATTGAATCAATTCAGGCTCGGGCTTTTTTGAATGTCTGTCCCTAGCCAGAGGGGAAACATTTTTTATGGAAACATCCTTTAGCTACTGTCATTTCCAAAATGCATGCAAAGTGGAACTAACTACCAAAACCGATTTTATAAATACGCTTTGCCTTTACAAAAGGAAAGGTTTGCTTTTACAAGCTATAAGATTTATGATGATCAAAAAAGAACAATCAATAGCAAGCACTTTATATGTGGATTGGGTTCATTGGTAAATGATGCTGGAATATTTTCAAGAAAGGCCAAATAATTACATCGGACATGTAAGTCAGCTGAAATACAACTTGCATGATTTGTTGTTGGTATAACTAGTCTAACCACCCTTGTGTCCAGTTTGGACCAGCAGGAGTGCAGAAAGGAAAAGGGATGTGATCAGTGCAAACTGGAGTATATCTGCCATGACTAGTTATGCGGTGATGTACAGGTAACAAACCTCATAGTCTAAAGTGAAGTACATTCCCTGGACTCTCCAGTTTAATCCTGGCATAACTGTGATTTTTCAGGTGGCATGAATCACCTGCACTAGGTCAGACACGCTAATTAAAGTGCCTATGTAAGACCCCTAGCCTCTCAACAGCCATTACTAATACACAATTTAGTATTCTCAAAGCAAAAGGGCAATATACACAAATGGTACAGTTCTGCCACTACCAATCCTCTGGGATACCCAAGGGAGCCAGTAATCTCTCAGACCTTTATAAACTCCCAGCTGCCCAGTAATTAGCCCACTGAGTCAAATGAATAGAAAATCAGGAATGTTTCTCTAGTTTTGCTTCTTGTTTTTTTATTTAAAACATTCACTCTGAACTAATTTTTTCACTCCCCTCCCCCACTCCTGTTAGAAGCCCCCATTGCTGCCAGGGGGTATTGCTCACACAGGGGGATATACAGACAAACAAATGATACTGTGTTGAAAGGTAGCAAGAGACTTCTCACACATCTGTTGCTCCCCGTGTCTGCCCCTATCCTTCTGTAAGTGGAAGTTAAACTGGAGTGAGCTGCCTCAGGTTACCTTCTGCTTGTTATAGAATAAGAGTGGACATACAAAGCAATTGCCGAGGAACAGCTGACATAGCAAGTCCCCTCCCTCTCTCCTTTTAACTCTGTATATTTTGTTCATCTAACCATATCCTCAAGAATACACCCCAAAAAGCTGTGAGCACCACTGATTCTCAATTAGGGTGCCAGGGCACCCTGGAGAACTGTGAGATCTTTTGAAGGATGCTGCAAGGTATGAGGAGATAAGTACAGGCTCAGGTTCATCCCAGCCTGGCTGCTGCCCTGCTGTACTGCCTGGTCCCTCTGCAACAAGGTAAGCACTGTAATAAATGAATTACTTTTTGAAATGGGGTGCTACTCAATTCGCAATGAAGGGATGTCTTGCGTCAAACGAGGAGAGCCACAAGTTGAAAAAGGTTCAAAACACTGCCCTATTCAGTCCGGCTATACCCACCTCCCAAGAAAACAGCAGATTTTATATCACCAACATCAATACTAAAACCTCTGCTTGATTCATAAGCAGAGTTATAGTTTGCACAAATATTCGCACTTTGCAGATGAGAAATGAGAAAGAAAAATGAAGCTATTTTTTCCCAAGGTCTCACAGTGCATCAATTGAGTAGTCAGGCTTACAGCAATGGATTTCCTAGCTCCTAAGACTGAGCTTTACTAGCATGCCTTGCTTTTTAACATTTATTCTGCATCTCATACCTTCTTTCCTCTCCAGCACTCAGCTGCAGTACCTAATCTGGGTGCTGGGAAAGAAGAGACACAAGGGACTCTCCTCTCAGGCTGTTGAATGATGGCTGTATTACTCTACATGGCAGCTGCTACTCCAGTTTAATGGCTACAGCAGAAGCTCTCTTCAGTATGCAGAAAAGACTAGAGGATTTCCACAGTAACAGACTCTTGGGTCTACATCCCCAATAGCTTTTCCACAAGCATTGCTTAGCTCCATGGAGGCTCTACAGGGAACCTCCACGGAGCTAAGCTCTGTACTATGGAGGGGCCACCTAAACCCTTCCTGGCTTTCTTGGCTTAGGGAAGCCTGCACTTTTCTATAGATAGTAGGACTGCTGTTACAAAGCTCTCTGCACCTGCAGCAGAGAGGGAAAGACTTGCATTTGGCTTTATATGCATAGACAAAATATAGTCTAATGTAGCAGATGTATTAAGTATGGATGGACCTACATTTTTCATTTGTTTTGAAATAGAAATGAAAATGCATGGCCTTATAATAGGTGAACTCATTGCCTATTTCATGTCAAGGAACACAGCTAAGGATTTGGTAAATAAAACCCACCTTCAGGAACCAGACCATGTACTGCTCCTGTTGATCGATATGTTATCACCAGGGAGAGGCAAGTGCCCTCAAGAAACAAAGCAAAGATAACATTTCTTGAGTGGACAGATGGAGGGACAGAAACTGATCCCTTATTACACACTGCCATCTGGAAGACATTTAACACAAACTGACCCCTGCTTTACATGCATCATTATTTCTCCTGTCAAAGTGCAGACCATCTGTATTATAAGAGAGCCGTTATAAGCAAATATTCACATGGAAGCAAAAGGAGCTAAATATAAGTAACTAAATATGTTGCAAAAAAGTACTTTGTAATTACATTTTATTGCAGCTGAACTGGAATATCATCAAGCCATCTGTCTTGAAATGCACTAAGCTTTTAAAAGATCAACGCACAAGCAAAACCAATGAGAAGGTGTACTGATGCAGAGAGATTATATGTACGTGCCATAAAGAAACTTTTCAAATTAATATTAGCAGCAAATCTGGACCAATTCTATATAAAATGCTACAAAAGCAGTAGCAATATCACGCCTTGGTTACCTGAATAAGCAAGCACCAGGAGAAAGTTAGGGGAGAAGGTAGTGAGACATCAGCAAAAGATTAACTTAATATAGGCATTTCTCTGGGTCTTGGCATCTGCTGGAGGAAGAATCTGATCATTGGTGTGAGTTCATGTGGTTTCCAGGAAACTACTAATGAAAATCCCATAGAAGGTGCTCAGAAGAGAGCTAATTGGTACTGTATGGACCTTCTTGTTTCTGTTCCAGGAGGAGCAGAAAACTAAATATAAGACAGCAGAGTATCACTTATAATTTAAATAGTGCTTAAGAGCATTGTGGATGCTGCTGGCACTGCTGGTAAGACCCTTTCTCATGTCTACATTCAGAAAGAGGCCCCTAGGTAAACTCATTAAGTGTTCATTCTTTTTCTAACCTGCTCATCATTATGACTCAATCAATAATGGTGAGGGAGCCCTGTATCAGTGTTAGCCATAATCAAGTATATTCATAAAGACTCAAAATAAATGAATTAGTTAGTTAAAATCTTACAACAACTGAGGGGGAAAAAATCATTATCTGCTTCCCTAGCATATCTCCTAATTTCTCCCAGGTTTGTTGGGAATGGGTTTGTTTGGCCTCAGTTCTCTTTCCAGCCTCAATGTTCCTTCCTGTGATTAAAGGAATGTAAGATCTGAAATGCAGTAGAAGGAAAGCCCACAACACTAAGGGTTAGCATATTTAAAAGTTTCAATCAATATAGAAGCCTGAGTCCCATTTTCAAATGGGATTTGGATACTTTTGAAACCAAACCTAAGAGGACTCAGGTTCCTTGGGCTCAAATCATTTTGGGAAGTGGGACCTAGGCTCCAAAATTGTTTAAAATCTGAAAATGTAACCCTAAACAGTAACTGAAAAGTAGCTAGTAGGGGTACCCACAGAACCTAGCCGTAGTAGCATGTAGTTCAGTTTCAGCGAAGCTCCCATGTCCGTAAGGTTTTGCAACTCATGTAGTCACACTATTGGTACCCCAGCTAGCTAGCTGAACCTAACTTGGGTATGTGTCCACTCCAGTACAGTCACAGTAGAGATACAATAGAGACATATCGCTAGACTACCTCTGCAGCTGGACGTTAAAACATGAACTTGGATACCACAGGCCTTTCCTCTCTGGACAACCCAACTACAGACAACGTAACCAAAGGCAACAGTAATCATCGTTCAACACAATAATAACGGGACTTTCCAAACCATTCTAGGTGACTAACTTTGATAACATTAGTATGGTTCCTGCGGAGACCTCATCACAATTAAAGAATCAATAGAAAAAGGCTTAAGCAAAAACAGCCAAGGTACCTTGCACTGACAAAAAGATAAAGTATGTTAGTCAAGGTATACATTTCACTTGCCTGTCCCATCCAGCCCTACTGTGCCCCACAACTAAGGTATTTTCTCCCCACCTCCCCATCCCCAAGTAAATGCATCTTGCTAACTTCCTTTCTGCCTAAAAGGGCAGAGTGAAATTCTAATACACATTCCACAGACGCTTGAGGGATGGAGACTGCCAAGTGCAGGCACAGATTCTGCATAGCATTTGACTGTCCTGGGCACACCCTTATCCCACAGGCATTTCTTGGCACATGATAACCCCCGTATTCCTCCCCCACCCATAGCAGAAAGAAGTTTGCCCCTGCTATCCACCACCACAGCAGCACTGAATTGCCTACTGTACCTTGCTGCAGTCAGCTCAGTGGCAGCCAGAGGAGCAGCATGTTCACAAGACGGAGAAACAGCTAAAGGTTGTTTGGAGAAATCAGAGGAAGAAGCCAATTGTATGTCATCACCTGGCACAGGAGAACTGCAGAGGAAAGATATGGAAAAATGGCAGACTTAGAGGCCTCTGTAGAATTAGTCATCTGTAATCTCTACATCTGGAGCTCTTGTTTAGAAGGGGGGGGTGTATAGCTATGTTACACGTACAATATGCATATATGAATATTAACCACAAAGGGAAACCGCTCT